CTGTATCGGATCTCTACAGGATTCCATACAGTCAGTATCGGATCTCTACAGGATCCCATACAGTCTGTATCGGATATGTAAAATATCCTATACAGTCTGTACCGGATCTCTACAGGATCCCATACAGTCCGTATCGGATCTGTATAGGATCCTATACAGTGTTCATCGGATTTCTACAGGATCCCATACAGTCTGTATAGGCAATGTATAGGATCCTATACAGTCTGTATCGGATCTCTACAGGATCCCATACAGTCTGTATCGGATATGTGTAGGATCCTATCCAGTCTGTGTCGGATCTCTACAGGATCCCATACAGTCAGTATCGGATCTGTATAGGATCCCATACAGTCTGGATCGGATCTCTACAGGATCCCATACAGTCTGTATCGGATCTGTATAGGATCCTATATAGCTTGTCTTATCGGGTCTCTACAGCATCCCATAAGGGAGTCCAAGGGGGTTCCAGTTTTTTTTGGGGGGGTTGCTGGTTGCTGTTGCTGTTGCTGGGGGGTGGGTCAGAATGCGCCCACGGGGCTTTGAGCGCAGCCTTCGCAATAAGGCGAGGGCGGGTCCGGACGGCTACAGCTCACGGGGCTCTCACGCGCGTTTTTTCCTTGTTGTTGTTGTTGATGATGATGATGATGATGATGATGATGATGATGATGATGATGATGATGATGATGATGATGATGATGATGATGATGATGATGTTGTTGTTGTTGTTGTTGTTGTTGTTGTCATCATTATCATCATCATTAATGTTGTCATTATTTACATATGCTTAAATGTTTTGTTTTTTTCGTCTAACATCCGCCTTTAAGGGGACATGCCTGACCTAATCCTACATCGGCACAGGATCTCGGCAGCCTAGTCGAGACAACGTCGCCTCCGAGGGAGGGCTCCCGCAACGAGACGCTGGGCAATAATCTCATCAATATCAGCTGCCGACGTCTAGCAGGGGCGCGGCGTCAGCAGCAGGCGGCGGAATTCGAGCGATACTTGGGCGAGGCTCGACGGGAGCAGCATCTCCTCTGGACACGGCGTCGGCAGCAGGCCGGTGGCTTCCGGGCTGGGGCCCATCAGCCGCACGAGGAACCCAGACGAAACCTGCTTGAGGCATGGCGGCGGCAGCGCTTCCTCTGCACACGGCGTCGGCAGCAGGCCGATGGCCTCCGGGTGCGGCCGCGCCAGTAGCAGATGGGGACCAGCCACGGATCCACCCATCATCGAGGATAAAAGAACCCCTGGCCCTAACAACATGATGAAGACGCGGCCTCACCGAGGTCCCCGTTTTTGCATCAGGGATACGTGATCGACCAGGGCGGTTTGGTTCGATGCCTCTGCAGAAAAGACTCCCTATCCCCAGTGTTCTTGGCCCGCCTAACTTGGGCCCCCCCCCCCAAAGGGTTGGAGGTCCTTCCTGAGTCAGTCAACTCAGCCTCGGGCAAGGGCGCCTTCGAGGGCCCTGCCTTCGGCAACGGCGCTCGGCGCCCCCGGAAGCCGCAGCGTGGCAGCGTGGCCGCGGAGGTCGGCAGCGCCAGCGGCCCGCTGAGGGCCACGCGCCTGGCCGGCGCAGTCCGCTGCCGCAGCGGAACGTGCCTGCGGCTACACCGCGGCGCCCAGGCAGCTAGCGTGCAGCCGGGGCCCGGCAGCGACAGCATTCGAAGAAGAGAACACGCCGTAAAGATACATTTGGGGCGCTCCGCGCGGATTTCTTGCATCCGCGCTGGCCCCCTGCGCCTCCTGGCACCGGCCCTGGCGCGCTCCGCGCGCCAGGGAGGGGGTCCAGCGCAGATCCAAGAAATCCGCGCGGAGCGCCAACAGTTTATGTTTATGGCGTTTTTCCTTCGTCTGAGCATGACGCGGCGGCGCACCCGTGGGAGCGTGAGGCGCAGCATCAGGAGCCGCGCATGCATGACCTTCAGGGGCACGATGGGCACGGTGCGGCTGCGAGACGACTCCACGGATGGAGCCGGCAGAGGTGGCGGCCCGCTCCGGTACGCAAGGCCGCTCGCTGGTGCCATGCTCCAGTGGTGGCGGTAGCTCGCGGCGCTGCTGCTCCACTGGCGAGGCCTCTGGTGGACGCCCTGCCACAACAAGAGGGCCATGAGGATGGCCATCGCGCAGCCGTAGAACGGTGGCGGCAGCCAGGGCCGCGACATCGGCCATGCACGGCGGCCTGCGAACGCGAGCAGCATAGCCAAGACGCGCGGTCACAGCGCAGAAACCTCGACGAGTGTGACTGCGGTTGGGCCTTGCCGAACGGTGAAGGGCATCATCGCGTTCGATGGGATAATCTCGTGGAGCGTCGCTGTCGCCAGCTCCTGCGCCAGCAGGGGCGACGCGCATGGCATCTGTCGCGGCGGAAGAGGGCCCGGCGCAGCACCCTGAGTGCTAGAAGGGACCCCGACTGGTATGGCGGTGGGAGACGGGAGGCAGGGAGGAGGGCTGGGAAGAGGGGAGGATGAGGAGGACCGCAGTCTGTCCAGATGTTCTAGGCCGAGACGGCTGGTTCAAGGACCCCTGGTGTCGCGACTGTTTTCAAGGTGAATGTTTGCTCAGGGTGTTCGCCTGTTGGGCCGTCGTCGGGCCCCACGGAGCGCTTCAGGATGAAGGTGTCGAGGGGGTCGAGGAGAGGGGTGAGGGCTCTGATGACCATGCGTAAAGCAACTCGTTCCTCACACTTGTCCGAGGCCCAGAAGGTACTCTTGCAGCGAAGCGGGGCAGATGATTTCCCTTTGCTCACCTGCACGTCGGGCTACCCCTGAAGCTTCACCCCAGCCGAGGTGCCAGAGGACGCCCCACGGTGGCAGCCCGCTGCCGTGGCCTCCTCGCTGTCGCGCCTGTTCGGCTTGGCCAAGGACCTCGGGGGGCCGCCCTGGGCCCGCTTGCCAGAAGGCACGCGCCGCTTTCGGCTCGAGGGCCGCTTGCAGGGGGGCCCTTGGGCTCCGAGCAGGGTGCGTCTGGGGCCGTCCCCGCGCCCCTGCCGCTCTTCTCCGAGCTTCCCCCGAGGCCGGGGGAACAGAAGCAGCGGCGCCGCTTCTCCCCCGACCTCTCCCAGGGCGCAGTCTGACGAGGATGCGGGGGCCAATCTTTCGTGGCGACGGACCTCCCAGAGGCCCGAACTGCGCGCAGGGGAGCGAAGGGGCTTCGGAGTCGATATGTGCTTCTCTCTCTTTTTTTTTTTTTTTTTTTTCTCTCTCTCTCTCTCTCTCTCTCTCCTTTCAAATATAGGGGGGTCCATCTCAGCTTCCATGCCAGGCTCTTCCCCAGCTTCCATCACCTCAGGGGCGGCCTCACCGACCCCCAGCAGACGTGACGTCCTCTTCGCCTCGCCCCAAATCGTATGTATGCGGCCGGAGGGAAGCTTGAAAAGCGAGGATGACGTCACGGAAGAGGATAGTTTGCTAGGGGTCGGTTAGGCCGCGCCCGATCACTCCGCCAACTCCTGCCTTTCGGCCATGCGCAGAGGGGGGGGGAGGGGGGAAGTCTTCGGCACCCCTGCTTTTCTCAGGGGGCGCGGGCCCCTTCCACAACTAGATGTAGGGCCAGCGTCTTCTAAGAAGCAGCCTCCTTGTAAGGAGCCTTCCCGCCTCACCCTAGTTACCAAGTTGTGCGCGCCGCCAAACCTCCATGTCTTCTCCCGCGGACAAAACACGCCAGTCGTAGGAAGTAGAGATTTTTCCCAACCCTCCTTGGTTGGGTATTCGTTTTGAATAGAGCACTGCGGTCTCCAGTTCTCCTCCTCCCGCCTCCCGTCTCCCGCTCCCCTCTTGTCTCCTCTTGCCTTGCGCGAACCTGGCCATCCCTGGGGGCTGCGATCTGTGACGCTGTCGCCACTTTCGAGGGCTGCTGGTGGGTCCTGCGGAGTGAGGCACCGCGGGGATCTGAGCGGGACCTCGCCGTCCCTGGGGGGCTGCGATCTGCGACGCTGTCGCCACTTTCGAGGGCTGCTGGTGGGTCCTGCGGAGTGAGGCACCGCGGGGATCTGAGCGGGACCTCGCCGTCCCTGGGGGGCTGCGTTCTGCGACATTGTCGCAACTTTAGGGGGCTGCTGGTGGATCCTTCGGAGTGAGGCACCGCGGGGATCTGAGCGGGACCTCGCCGTCCCTGGGGGGCTGCGATCTGCCACACTGTCGCCACTTTCGAGGGCTGCTGGTAGGTCCTGCGGAGTGAGGCACCGCGGGGATCTGAGCGGGACCTCGCCGTCCCTGGGGGGCTGCTCGCCTTTCGAGGGCTTGGGTCCTGCGGAGAGGCTCTGAGCGGGACCTCGCCGTCCCTGGGGGGCGATCTGCGACTGTCGCCACTTTCGAGGGCTGCTGGTGGGTCCTGCGGACTGAGGCACCGCGGGGATCTGAGCGGGACCTCGCCGTCCCTGGGGGGCTGCGATCTGCGACGCTGTCGCCACTTTCGAGGGCTGCTGGTGCGGAGTGAGGCACCGCGGGGATCTGAGCGGGACCTCGCCGTCCCTGGGGGGCTGCGATTTGCGACATTGTCGTTACTTTCGAGGGCTGCTGGTGGGTCCTGCGGAGTGAGGCACCGCGGGGATCTGAGCGGGACCTCGCCGTCCCTGGGTGGCTGCGATCCGCGACGCTGTCGCCACTTTCGAGGGCTGCTGGTGGGTCCTGCGGAGTGAGGCACTGCAGGGATATGAGCGGGACCTCGCAATCCCTGGGGGCTGCGATCTGCGACACTGTCGCCACTTTCGAGGGCTGCTGGTGGGTCCTGCGGAGTAAGGCACCGCAGGGATATGAGCGGGACCTCGCCGTCCCTGGGGGGCTGCGATCTGCGACGCTGTCGCCATTTTCGAGGGCTGCTGGTGGGTCCTGCGGACTGAGGCAGCGGGGATCTGAGCGGGGCCTCGCCGTCCCAGGGGGGCTCTGGAGAGCTGCTGTGGGATACGTTAGGCGCAACGGGCGCATGGCACAGCCAACGGGGGTGATGTGTGAAACAGACCATCTGCCGGGCGATGGCCACAACGTTGCGCCTACACGTATCTTGCGGGGGCTCTCAAGAGCTGCTGTGGGATACGTTGGGTGCAACGGGCGCATGGCACAGCCAAAGGGGGTGAATTGTTTTTACGTGGCCCTTAGATCTTGTTCGGGGGACTGCGAGCTTTCGATTGCTGCTCTCAAAATCACATGCGTCCATGTTACGTCTTCGCCCCCGTTGTAGCAATCCTGATGTACCTATGCCCCGCATTGCGCAAGGGTTGGGTACGTCGCCAGGGTAACCCCAATCTACTTCAAGCGCCTTCCAACTTCAACAATCGATATGCTTTGGCTGTGTTTTGTTATTCCCAACCCTCCTTGGCTGGGTATTCGTTCTGAATAGAGCACTGTGGTCGCGTCCTTCTCCTTCTCCCGCCTCCCGTCTCCCGCTTCCGTCTTGTCTGCTCTTGTCTTGTGCGTACCTCGTGTGTGTGTGTGTGTGTGTGCATGGGTGCGTGCGTGCGTGCGTGCGTGCGTGCGTGCGTGTGTGTGCGTGTGTGTGTGTGTGTGTGTGTGTGTGTGTGTGCGTGTGTGTGTGTGTGTGTGTGTGTGTGTGTGTGCGCGCCGTCCCTGGGGGACTGCGATCTGCGACACTGTCGCCACTTTCGAGGGCTGCTGGTGGGTCCAACGGGGTGAGGCACCGCGGGGATCTGAGCGAGACCTCGCCGTCCCTGGGGGGCTGCGATCTGCGACACTGTCGCCACTTTCGAGGGCTACTGGTGGGTCCTGCGGACTGAGGCACCGCGGGGATCTGAACCGGACCTCGCCGTCCCTGAGGGGCTGCGATCTGCGACGCTGTCGCCACTTTCGAGGGCTGCTGGTGGGTCCAGCGGGGTGAGGCACCGCGGGGATCTGAGCGGGGCCTCGCCGTCCCTGGGTGGCTGCGATCCGCGACGCTGTCGCCGCTTTCGAGGGCTGCTGGTGGGTCCTGCGGAGTGAGGCACCGCGGGGATCTGAGCAAACCCTCGCCGCCCATGAGGGGCTGCGATCCGCGACACTGTCGCCACTTTCTAGGGCTGCTGGTGGATCCTGCGGACTGAGGCACCGCGGGGATCTGAGCGAACCCTCGCCGCCCTGGGGGGCTGCGATCTGCCACACTGTCGCCACTTTAGAGGGCTGCTGGTGGGTCCTGCAGACTAAGGCACCGCGGGGATCTGAGCGGGGCCTCGCCGTCCCTGGGGGGCTGCGATCCGCGACGCTGTCGCCACTTTCGAGGGCTGCTGGTGGGTCCAGCGGGGTGAGGCACCGCGGGGATCTGAGCGGGGCCTCGCCGTCCCTGGGGGGGGCTGCGATCTGCGACACTGGTGCCATTTTCGGGGGCTGCTGGTGGGTCCTGCGGACTGAGGCACCGCGGGGATCTGAGCGAGACATCGCCGTCCCTGGGGGGCTGCGATCCGCGACGCTGTCGCCACTTTCGAGGGCTGCTGGTGGCTCCTGCGCAGTGAGGCACCGCGAGGATCTGAGCGGGACCTCGCCGTCCTTAGGGGGCTGCGATCTGCGACGCTGTCGCCACTTTCGAGGGCTGCTGGTGGGTCCTGCGGACTGAGCGAGACCTCGCCGTCCCTGGGGGGCTGCGATCTGCGACACTGTCGCCACTTTCGAGGGCTGCTGGTGGGTCCTGCGGAGTGAGGCACCGCGGGGATCTGAGCGGGACCTCGCCGTCCCTGGGGGGCTGCGATCTGCGACGCTGTGTCGCCCCTTTCGAGGGCGGCTGGTGGGTCCTGCGGACTGAGGCACCGCGGGGATCTGAGCGGGACCTCGCCGTCCCTGGGGGGCTGCGACCTGCGACACTGGCGCCACTTTCGAGGGCTGCTGGTGGCTCCTGCGGAGTGAGGCACCGCGGGGATCTGAACGGGACCTCGCCGCCCATGGGGGGCTGCGATTTGCGACATTGTCGCCACTTTCGAGGGCTGCTGGTGGGTCCTGCGGACTGAGGCACTGCGGGGATCTGAGCGAAACCTCGCCGTCCCTGGCTGCGATCTGCGACAGTGTCGCCACTTTCGAGGGCTGCTGGTGGGTCCTGCGGAGTGAGGCACCGCGGGGATCTGAGCGGGACCTCGCCGTCCTTGGGGGGCTGCGATTGGCGACATTGTCGCCCTTTTCGAGGGCTGCTGGTGGGTCCTGCGGACTGAGCGGGACCTCGCCGTCCCTGGGGGACTGCGATTTGCCGCGGGGGCTGCGATTTGCCACACTGTCGCCGCTTTAGAGGGCTGCTGGTGGGTCATGCGGACTGAGGCACCGCGGGGATATGAGCAGGACCTCGCCGTCCCTGGGGGGCTGCGATCTGCGACACTGTCGCCACTTTAGAGGGCTGCTGGTGGGTCCTGCGGACTGAGGCACCGCGGGGATCTGAGCGGGGCCTCGCCGTCCCTGGGGGGCTGCGATCTGCGACGCTGTCGCCACTTTCGAGGGCTGCTGGTGGGTCCTGCGGACTGAGGCACCGCGGGGATCTGAGCGAGACCTCGCCGTCCCTGGGGGGCTGCGATCTGCGACAGTGTCGCCACTTTCGAGGGCTGCTGGTGGGTCCTGCGGAGTGAGGCACCGTGGGGATCTGAGCGGGACCTCGCCGCCCCTGGGGGCTGCGATCTGCGACATTTTCGCCCTTTTCGAGGGCTGCTGGTGGGTCCTGCGGACTGAGGCACCGCGGGGATCTGAGCGAGACCTCGCCTTCCCTGGGGGGCTGCGATCTGCGACGCTGTCGCCACTTTCGAGGGCTGCTGTTGGGTCCAGCGGAGTAAGGCACCGCGGGGACCTGAGCGAGACCTTGCCGTCCCTGGGGGGGGGGCTGCGTTAGTAGCCACTACGACGCCCTCAGATCTTGATCGGGGGCCTGCGAACCTTCCGATCACCCAGCAGAATCAGATGCGTCCATGTTGCGTCATCGCCCCCGTTGTAGCACTCCTGATGTACTTATGCCCCGCATTGCGCAAGGGTTGGGTACGTCGCCAGGGTAATTCTCTGGGAGGGCCTGAACCCAATCTACTTTATTCGCCGTCCCGCTTCACGTTCTTGTTTACCTTTTTCCCACCGACGTGTCATCGCCTCCGGGCTCTTCGGCGCGCGCTAGGTTCCCGTCTCGTTCCTGGTGGGCCCTGGTGGGCTCCACCTGGCAGTCGGTCGGGTGCTGGCCGGCCTCCCTGGTGCCGGTGCCGCCAGGCCTGTCTGGTCTCTTGAGGGGCCTCGGATGGTCTCCGGTGCCAGCGTCTCGCCGGGCGGCCGGCCCGTCTCGTGGAGCCGCCGTCGCCCGATGCGTGCGGGCCTGGGAGGGACCAGTGTTAAGTCGGGCCTGTCCCTCTACAGGAGGAATATTCAAAAATAGTAAAAAAATAGTCTGGGGACTATTTTTTGATCATTTTTTGACCATTTTTGTTTTGAATATTTTCAAGGGTACTTTTTTGGGTTTTTTTTTTCTTTTTTCGTCCAAAATCGGCCTGTAGGGGGACAGGCCCAACTTAAGACCAGTGCGAGCGACGCCAAAAGAGAACGAGGTCGTCTGCGCCGACATTGGCGCGTGAGCTGCCCGCGCAAGGTCGCGTGTGAGCGCCCTCGCCTCCAGTGTGGCGTGCCGCGCCGGCGGCCCGCGCAAGCCGCAGCGAATGGTCGCAACGCCATCTCGCGTAAGGCCCGTTTCAGATCGTCGCTCGTTGGGGGAAGCACTGTGAGCAAAAATGGAGCTGAGCATCGGCATCGTCTAACCTGTCCCCACTCCGTGGGGCCTAACCTGTCCCCAGCCCCACCTATCCACCCCGGCAGGTGGGGATGGGCCATGTGGAACCCGAAGGCAACAATTGACACAGTCTGTTCCCGCCCAGAGGGGTAAGTGGGCCAATGGGGCCAAGGCCATGCCAGTGGGGATTGGGATCCGATGAACGGTTCTCAGAATGTTCGGGCTCTTGAACGCTCTGAAGTGGCATTAGCTTTCTGTTCTCCTGCTTGCCCTGGTTGTGCTCTGTCCAGGGAGAAACCCTTGGGCGGTGAGGGCGTCCCTCTCGCTTCTCCCCACTTTCCTTTCTCTGAACAGGGGCGCAACGTTTGCCCCCCTGTCGTACACACTTGTGCTCCCGATGAGTGCACGTCTTCCTGTCATGCCTAACGCTGATCTGGTTCACGGGCCAAGGTTTTGGTTTGACCGGGCCTCTGCTGCTGCTCTGCCAGTGAATGCCCAGAGTCAGTTCGGGCAGCCCTGACGCTGGCGGTCTTTCCCAGCCAAGGGGGGAAAAACACACCGATCCCCATAATTACCGCTTGCTAGGCAGGCCCAGACGTTTACTAAACCTCTCTGACTTGTCCGACTCTTCCTTAGACACGTTTGCTGAACGGCTTCGCTTGTCGGGGTGCTTGTTGCGAGGGTGGTTATTCTGCCTGCCCTCCGCTCAAGGATGTTGGCCTCCGCGCGCAGCTGTCGGAGCTGCTCGTGGAGGTCGAGGCTATCCAGCAGTTTGGGAACAGCGCCCGTGGCTACCTGAAGGACGCGGAGCTTCTCCCCCTCTCGCAGCGGTGGCGGCCCGACGTCCACGCCCTCGCGGCCCAGGAGCCCGCGTCGGGCGGCCCCGCTCCTGGTGCCGCTGGCGCGAAGTTCCGCGCGGTGCACGTGGCGCACCTCCTCGTGGCGCTCAACGTGCTGAGGAAGTCCGGGCTGCGGGAGCCCGACGCCGACATGCACGTCGAGGTGCTGCAGCTCCTCGCGGACAGCTACCTGCTCCCCTCGGCACCCGGGCAGGGCCGCGGGGCCGAGGGGCGGTGCACGGTCCCGGCAGAGCTGCTGCCCGCGGTCCTCGGCCACGGCCTCTTCGTCATGACCTGCGAGGGCATCGACAGCGGCGTCCTGCAGGGCATCGAGCGCGTGCTGTGCTCGCTGGCCGACAGGCTCGTCCTGGCGACGGGGCCTGGCAAGCAAGGCACCGAAGACGACGCCGCGCTGCTGCGTCTCCTGCTGACCACAGTGTCGCCGGCGCTCCGAAAGATGCTGCGCTCTGCTCAGGAGACGGTCTACAGGGCGGCCCTTCGTATCCTCGCGCATTACGTCAGAGTTTTGGCCCCTCACTGCGAAGAGCTCTCCAGTCTGTACACGCCCACGGGCAGCAACGCCGCGGCACTCTTCGGATCGAGCCCAAGTGCCGTGTTCCACTCGGATCTCCTTCAGCTGCTTGCGAAGACGGAGCAGAGCGGCGACCAGGGGGGCGACCTCTTCGCGAACCTGCTGCACCTCCAGAAGCACCGCCGTGGCCGGGGACTGCTGCAGCTGGCGCGGGCGGCCGAGGACAGGCAGCTGACGACCAACACGCTGACGCACTTTGTGGCACCGATCTGCCTGCAGGCGGTGCTGCAGCGCGGGGCCTCGCAGGCCGCCTTCGACCCAAACTACGCAGACGTCGCCATCAGGTGCCTCGGTGAGTGCATGGCCCAGGTCGCGTGGGGCACTTGCCTGCAGACCGTGCGGCTGCTGTCGGTGCTCCTCACCAAGCAGCACCTTCGCGAGAAGTGGATCGTGCGCGCCGTCTGCGAGAGCCTGTCCCGCTTCCCGTTCCCCGAGGCGCCGCTGCCAGGGCCGGAGGCACTGGGAGGCTACACGGGCGCCGAGCCGGAGGAGCCAGGCAGCAGGTCGCAAGGCGGCGGCATCAGGGGCGGGAGCAGCAAGGGCAAGGGCCGCTTCGCCCGCGGAGTCCGCAAGGGCAAGGGCAAGGGCAAGGGCAAGGGCAAGGGCCGGAGCGGAGGCAAAGACAAAGGCAAAGGCGACGGGGAGGGCAAGGAGCTGGCTGGCGGTGGCAGCGGCGGCGCAGCCGAGGCGGCGCCTGCGGAGGTGGAAGGGGACCAGAAGGATGCCGACGAGCCCAGAGGCGACTCCGACGGAGAGGCGGGGGCGCAGAGGAGGGGCGCCGACGCCACAGGCGGCAAGACTTCCATGGTGAAATCGCTCAGGACCTGCGTGCTGCCGCTCCTGAAGAAGATCGCAGTCCAGCGAGAGCCTGGCAAAGGTGGCCAGGTGGCCAGCGGTGGCAAGGCGGGAGGGAAGGGTGGCCGCGACGGCGCCGGGGGGCTGGTGCGCGTCGCCGTCGTCGGCGTCATGATGCACTGCGTGAGGCACCTGCCAGAGGCCGACTTCAGGGCAGAGCTCCCGCGGGTGGTGGGCCTCACGATCGCGGGGCTGCAGGACCGGGACGTCGACCACCGCAGAGCGGCGAGGCAGTCTTTGTCAGGCGTCGCTGCTGTCCTCGGACCGCCCTGGCTCGGCTGGCTGCTGCAGGAACTGCGCTCCAGGCTGAACCGCGGCTTCATGCTGCCTGTGGGTGCCGCCGCGGCGCTGGCGGCGCTGCAGGCTGTTGCTCAAGACCAGAAGAGGCCTCTGCGCAGCGGCGACCTGGACGTGGCTGTGGATGAGGTGATCCAGCACGCTGGATTGGAGCTGGATCGCACCTGCGATGCGTCGAAGCAGGAGGCAGAGCAGGAGGAGGTGCGACCTGGTCAGGTGCCAGAGGCGAAGAAGCTCAAAGGACCCGAGATGGTCTTGATGGTGGCGCAGTTTAGCTCCCCCCAGCGCGCGATGGAAGCAATTTGGAGCCTGGATAAGCGGCTGCTCAGTGAGCCCGAGAACCAGATGGCGCCGACCAAGAGAAAGGGTGCACACACCTCGCTCTCTGGGCTGCCCCAGAAGTCGCTGCTGCAGCTTCGCCGCACAGAGGAGCTGATGATGAAGGCCGTGTCGGGCCTGTGCCTAAACGCTGCCTTCGCTGAACCGCTGCAGGTCGAGCTGACCTCGGCACTCCTGGCCGCCGCGGCGCGGGGCCTCAGGGGTGGCGGCAGATCGGGCAGAGGCGGCGATGGCGCGGCCAAGGCGGCGGAGCAGGCGAAATCCGCCCCAGAGGAGGGGAGCGCGGCGGACGCTGGGGACGACGACAGCACGGCGCTGCAGCCGAACAGGTCCCGCCAGAAGCTGTTCGAGATCCAGCAGGGAGCAGCCTCCGGCCGCGCGGGGGATCACGCGGCCGGCTACGCGGGCGGCAGCCGCGACAAGCGGGCGGGCAGCGGCTTCGACCAGTCGCGCGCCACGATGCTCGGGGTCCTTGGCCTTCGGCTCCTGAGGCACACGCTGACTGCGCTCAAGCGGAAGTCCACGCCGCCAGGGGCGACCACGCCGTCGGCTGCGGTCGAGGACGGCTCGGCGCCGCCTGTCGCGGCGACACACTCTGGCGTGCTGCAGGAGTTCGAGACGGCAGTCGTTCCGTGGGTCGTGGAGTGCTTCTGCTCTCGGCAGGACCGCCTCTTCGTGGCCGCAGGCCGATGTCTGGGTCTGCTTCGCGGCTTATACGCAACGCGCCCAGAGGTCCTCGGAGTGCACGGCGCGAGGATCGCGAAGACCGTGCTGAAGACCTTTGAGATCGTGGCTGGTGCCCCCGAGCTTTCGCAGCACCTGCAGGCGAAGGCGCGGGCGCGGGGGCTGGCCGACGCGGGGGCCGCCGCGACGCTCGCGGCCAGCACGAAGCTGCTCTCCGCCCTCCTCAACAGCCGGCAGCCGCGGGATCCGGAAAGGGTTGGGGCTCGCGTAACGGGGTCAGCGCTGATGGGGGTCAGGGCTGGACCTGAACGCTGCTTCGGCGATTTCGTGGGCCGTCGTCGTTTCGACCTCGTTTTGCGGCACGGGCGGACGGAAGACAGCACGCGGGAGAACGAAGGCAACACGAAAACGAAAGACGCCGTGCAGGTTCAGCCCTGCCGGGGGTCAGGTCAGCCGATCCTCTCCCGGGGCCCCTTGGCCGACTCTGGTCTGGGAGCGGCTCGGGAGCCCACCGTGCCATGCTGCCCGAGGAGGAGGAGGAGGAGGAGGAGGAGGAGGAGGAGGAGGAGGAGGAGGAGGAGGAGGAGGAGGAGGAGGAGGAGGAGGAGGAGTAGGAGGAGGAGGAGGAGGAGGAGGAGGAGGAGGAGGAGGAGAAGGAGGAGGAGGAGCCGCGGAGCTGGGTGTGGGGAGCCGCTTCGTGGCCGCCCGGGGCTCGCGGCGCGGCCCGGGCGACGGCCCGGGCTCTGCGCGGGCCCTGGTGAGCTGGTGCGTCCCCGGAGGGCAGCCGTCTGTCTCGCCCGCCCCGGGGACGCGCTCCTCTCTTCCAATCAGCTCGGGGGTGGACAGACCTCCTAATAGTGACACGTCGATTAGTGAATTGTCCGTTTTCGGTTCTCGAGAGGGCGCCGCGGCCGTTATTTTCCAGGCTTGCGCCCGCCAGGTTTGGGCCTCAGGTCGTTTTCACTAAACCACGTTTTACTAAAGGGAGGTCTGTCCATCCCCGATCAGCTCGGATGCAACTCTCGACTGGACGTAAGAGTGACCTCTCGCCGGAGTGACCTCTGCTGCGGGCACGGATGGGTTCCCAGACGGTCGAGAACGGAGCAGGAGCAGCGGCCTGCGCGCCCAGGTTTGGTCCCCCCGCGGCCCCCCCAAAAGCCGCGCACCAAAGGTCACTCTTACCCAGGGTCACTCTGGCGTGTAGCCGAAACTCCTGGGAGGTCAAATTCTGATTCAGCCCTGGTCCGAAAAATCCCGCATACTCCGGCTTAGTCCCGCTTGATCCCGCTGACTCCGGCCTCATCCCGGTTGGTCCCGTTTGATCCAGCTTACTCCCGCTTGATCCGAGGCCCACTTTGGCGTAACAGCCCCCCAGTGGGGCTTGATCCTCCTTAGTCCTTCCGACGACCGCCTCCCAGCAGTCGTCTCCTAAGATCAGGATTTGCCTCGGGGGCTCTGTTTTCTGGTGTGAGCCAGTGCGGTGAGGGCGGGTCCCCGTGGCTCCTGGGCCCTCGGCTGATTCGCGCTGCTGTGCTGGGCAGTGCTAGGATACAGTCTGATGAGAGCTACGCATGCTATGCGTAGCCATGAAATTTCGATACCATGCGCTGATCATGCAACGCGGTTTCGTGCTATTCTTCGTCCGATGCGATGCCACGCTGTGCTTTGCGACTCAATTCCAGGCGATCAGATGTGTTGCAGTGCATGCTATGCTACGGCAGGGTAATACTCAATGTGATGCATTGGCATGCACGGCTTGACTATGTTCTGGCACAGTCATTTGTAGAATCGAAATTTCCTACGGCGACCCACCGCTGCCCTCTACATTTTGAAATCGCTTAGGTGGCCAAACGTTGCGCCGAAGTCTTGCCAAGCTATTTGACTATCTGGTCCCCACCTGTTGTGTAATGCCTTTGGGGAACACGAAGGGGAGAGAAAGAGAAAGAGAGAGAGAGAGATAGCGAGAGAGAGAGAGAGATAGCGAGAGCGAGAGAGAGAGAGAGGGATACACATATATTTATCAATTGTATTTTGAGAAAGAAAGAGAGAGAGAGAGAGAGAGAGAGGAACAAGCAGAGAAATGTACAGAGAAATCGACAGAACGAGAGAAAGAAAGAGAGAGAGAGAGAGAGAGTGGGACAGCGACACACACGTATACATGTATATATGTATACATATATGTATGTATATACCTACACGGAGAAAGCGAGGGAAAGAGAGAGAGAGAGAGAGATAGAGAGAGGGAGGGAAAGAGAGAGAGAGAGAAGGACCTCTTGGGGGCTTCTTGGACTTGGGGCCCTCCGTAGGCCTCTGAGAGGCCTCTTGACCGTCGGAAGTTATCTTGCGGGCCTCGCGGTGCCGTCTTGGGGCATCCTGGGGGCGACTTCGGGCCGTCTTGAAGGTCTCCGGTGCCCTCTTGGGACCGTCTTGGGGGCCATCTGGGAGTTCTCTTAGGCCGTCTTGGGGCCATCTTGGGGCCTCTTTGGCTGTCTTGAGACCATCTTGAAGACCTCTTGGGCCGCCTTGAGCCGTCGGGAGCCAGAACGGGCGAGAACGCGAAAAACTTTGGAGCACCCAAGAATCAGGTGATCGCAAACATGGAAGTATGTGGGCGTGGATTAGCGACGGGTCCCGCTTCCATGGGAAATCGCGGATTTCCGCCGCCGAGCGAGGCGGCACCGGCCGCATCTTGGGGAGGGCACCTCCCCCGATCCATGGAGTTGGCGAATCCAT